AAAATTTCTTCCCACTCAGAGGCTAAAGCTATCTTAAAAATAGAAGGACTGGAACCCATGGAGAAGGACAGACTAACTTGGGACTGAGTAATCAAAAGGAATCTTCAATGTGGCCTCCTCCTACAAGCAACTGATTCAGGTAAAATGGTTAAAGATGGAAACACTAGAAACAAGCAGAGATCATCAACTACTAAAAAAAAAAAGACTGATAAGCTGGGGACTAAAGATAAACGGGAAGATCAGGCACTTTCTTTGAAAAGGAATGAACAACATCCTACTAGTCAACTGTAACTTACTCAAAAAAAATTGTTAGTTGATCTCATTTGTAGAGTCGGTTGGGAGGAACCTGAGACAAAAGACCACATTTTTTTCAATGTAAGAGAGCCCAACTTATTTGGAAGTTATCTCCTGTTTCATAGGAAGGAATTCACAATGCAATTTACAGCTTCAAACATAGGTGGCCAGAGGTGTGCTCACTCAACCACTCTCCTACATCAGAGGCAAGATTACGACTCACTTCTTACATCCTACGGTGGCTCTGAAAGACCCGTAATCTATGGGTATTCTCAACGATTTGGAATACTGAGGTTGCTACTGTCTCTCTTTTTGTGGTTGACTGGACTGAGTACTCTAGTGTTCATATTGTTAATGTTTGGTTGTTGTGGTTTTTATTTGGTCTGTTGTGTTGCTAGTAGTGTTTTGAAGGCTAGTTATGGCCCTTTTAGGGTCAATGGCTTACCTATTTTGCAGCCAAAACATGCCCTTGTGGTTCTCTCTAGTGGGCAGTAGGAACAAAATCCCGGGATCCTATGCTTTTGACTTAGTCGGGTGCTAAGTTTGTTGGGATCAGTGAGGATCTCGATATTGTGCATGTCACGGATTATCTACAAATTAAACCCTAAGCGCAGCGGAACTAGAACGAGGGTTCAACACATACCGTTTTTAATTTTGCCGACTCTGAGACATTTCTGATTTCCGTTGTTGGAGAACGTCTGAAACATCGAGTCCGTTGGGCAGCCGGACTTGTCCTCGCACATCACCAGATTGCTCATTGTCCTTTTCGGGTCATCCCGGACCTCCATGGACTTGGTCAAACCACCTGAGACTCGCCGTGGGCTCCCCGAAACACTCTGGACCTGCTGGACCGCTCCTGGACCGAACTGGAGCATGTTGGACTGGGTCTGGGCTGCTTGAACGTGTCCTGGGCCGGCTGGAGCGAGCTGGACCGATTTCTGCAAGTTGGGCCACCATGGACAAGCACTGGGCCAATGAGAAGCGTATCTGGGCCGCACATGTGGGCTGGAGCAATGCGGGCCGTGCGCGGGCAACCTTCGGGCGCGCGGGCTAGGAGTTGTGGGAAGAGTGGGCGCGCGCGCAGCCCGCGCGCTATTCTTCCTGATCCGCTGGGCTGCGTCGCCTATTGGGCCCTCCACGTTTGGGCCTTGCACGCGTTCTAGGCCGTCCTCACCTGCTGGGCTTGTGGATGCTCCCTGGGCAGGCGCGAAAATAGGGCAGGAAGCAAGGCTGCACTGAAGAAATTCTTGGCGGACTTCGGTGGCGCGTGGCGGCACGTGGACCACCGTCACAGCGGCGGCTTGTCGGTGGATGGTCGCCGGAAAATTGCCGATCGCTGGAGGGTGGCCACCGAAAGTTTCCAATCACTCCAAAAATATATGATTTGCATAAATCTGCCTTTTCGTGTAGAACGGACAACCCCGCGGATTACAGATAAATTACGGGGATGAATATATATATATATATATATAATACGGGGCTGGAAAATATATATAGATCGCTCTGTAGAGACATAAAATTTGTGTCCAATCAAATGGCGCCACGTGAAAATTAATTTATTAAAAATCAAGTCATATTTTCTATTTATATTTTAGGAATTTCCATATATTTAATT